GATGTCTACAAGAACCAGAGCAGATTATAGTAATAAATTTAGCTTAGTTCCTTCAGTGTTTGTAGCAAGATGCTGTAAAGCTTCTATAAGTCTGTCATGGAGAATATGGTTTATCCTACCATCATCTGCTGGGCTAATAGGATCAGATCAGATTACTTATAAAAGCTAAATAAGCTGTTAAAGAAGGCAGGCTCTGTTCTACGAACTCTGAAACTTCAGTCAAAGACTTCTCCAGATCCAGAGGAGGACAGACTGCTATTGAAGAATTAATGCAGTAACACATTGGTACTCTGTGTCCTTACGTTACTTTTAGCCTAGAAAAAATATATAAATGTAGTTGTTATTGTAAGTCGATTGAAATCCTTTTAACCTGAGAACTTTTTGAATTAGTTTTGTACTGCTTTCTTTTACAGAAACAGCTGAAAGAGGCAGTAAGGATCATCGGCTCAGGCAGCTTTTTGTTTGCTTCCTACCTCACGGTGGTTGGAGATGAGCGCTTCTATGCCAACCACCTGATGCCTCTGCTGCAGAGGCTTGTGGGTGCAGAAACAGCACATGTGTTGGCAGTGAAGTTAATAGGACTGGGTCTGGTTCCTCTAAACCGCTACCAGGACCCTGCATCACTGGTAAGCAAGTCATAAGCCCCATTTACGCTACCCTTTTGAAACTGTACCGAGAGCGGTCCGAGCACGGTAACCTAGATAACTGTTGAGTGTAAATGTAAACAGACCGTGGCAGACACAGCCGAACCTCACTAAACCAGTACTAATTCGTAAGTAGGGCTCAGTAAGGTTCAGTTGTGGCTCGGTTCTCTGATAACAAAGAGAGCATGAGCAGACTCTGCATCTCCTTGTACTTCTTGCGGAGGATGAGGAGAGCCCACCTGCCCCCAACCATCCTCCCAACCTTCTACAGAAGCACCATAGAGAGCGTTCTGACCAGCTGTCTCACTGTGTGGTGTGGAGGCTGCAGCACTACAGACTGGAAGAAGGTGAGGAGAGTGGCGAGAAGAGCAGAGAGATCATCAGGGTTCCTCTTCCTTCCATAAGACCTTTCATCCCAGCGCTGCTTGTCCCGAGCCCGTAACATCATCAATGACCCCTCACACCCCCACCATGAACTGTTCTCTCTGCTGCCCTCTGGGAAGAGGCTTTGCAGCATTCGATACAGGTCCAGCAGGTTCCAAAACAGCTTCTTCCCCACTGCCATCAGACAGCTGAACTGTTGAAAAAACTCAAAATCATGTAACAGACTGACACCAAATCAAAACACTGCTAAATTGCACCATGTATAGTAAATGCTCTGAAATTCCATATAATTGTGTTTATTTGCACCAGGTTTTTTTTTTTCTTCCACACTGTTTACATTTGATCACTGCTGCACATTAAGAAATGGAAATGTCATGAGAGCTGAACAAAACAAAATTTCATTTTGTATACAGAATAGGGTTCGGAATTGATGAGATTTTCACGATTCCGATTCCCTTATCGAATCTGTGAAACAATGAACTTGGTAAGTGCACAGTGACATTCGTCTACCTTCGCCTGGGTCATTCTACGGGAGCTGCCAGCCCCTGAGCCAGCCATGCTATCCGTATCGTCACAGTCATCTAAATCTAATGGAAACTGCATACGTTTAATGAAAAAGCATCTCCACCTTTCTTTCAGTTCCTGAACTGCAGAGCAACTTCGTAGCATGTTTAATACCGGTAACCCCAAAGAGAGGTAGGAAATGGGTTTATTTCTGGAAATGGCATTTGATTTACTAGGAACCACATTAAGCGCAGCCAGTGATGTAAAACTAGCTACTTACCACTAGAGTTGCCTTCCATGCTGGTCGTAACTTTAGCTTCTGTCCGGAAGCATCAAAAACAAATCTGTTAAAATGTATGCCATGTTGTGTACGCAGGTGTTTCTGCATGTTGAATGTATTTCCTCTGGCGGATGTAATTGCCACTGTGCAATGATTGCAAAGCACCTTGTTGCCATCTTTCTCTTCCGTAAAATGAATCCAAACTTTCAATCGCTTTGAGCGCTTTAGTTTTGCTTTTCTAGACTTACGCCTGGTCACGTTGTAACTGCTTACTGAATGCCGTGTGCGTAACTTGCTTAAAAACGTGACGTAAGTTGTGCTGCCCAGAGCGTCTTTGATGCTGCCTGGAATTGTTAGGGGAACTGTTAAGTGAGCTGCCAAACGGTGCTATGGAACGGGAACACATAGAACCGGTTCTGCACAGGAACCGGTTTTCGATTCCCAACCCTAAGACAGAATGACAATAAAATCTGTCTGAAGAAGAACTGTAAACAACAATCTTCTCAACTCTACATTTTATGAAATGGCTTCAAAAAAGTGTGGTGCGACCAAAGGCTGCCTTCTTCACCTGACTCTCCGCAAACAACGAAGTATCACAACTATTACCAAACATAAATTCCTGAATGTTTCAGGCACTGCCATTGTGATTTGCTTGATTCCCTCCTTCAATCCATAGCAGTAGTACCGTAGATCGTCACAAGGAACCGAGGAACTGTGCTAGCATGATGTGTAAATGCTCGTAAGGAACCAAGCTCGGCACAGTTAACGGATCCAAAATCGGTCCGAACTTGGCATGGATCGGTTTCATAGGGATAGTGTAAATGGGGCATATGGGATGCCTTCTCTCTAAAGTTGGCTACCTTCTAGTGTGGCCCTGTTTGCCTAAAGTTGTAAGACACCAAGTGGGGGGGGGGCTAAGAAAACGGTTTTCAATAATAATGTGATACTTAAGGTATATGAAAGCTCAAAATCAACATGAACTTTAAATATATTATGAATTAAGTATATGTAATGTCAATTTGTATAATAAATGACCCAAATATATATATACCTTTAAATTGTAAAATGCACAAATAAATAATGAAATGTCCTATTTTGTAATTAAAAATGCATTAAGAATGAATGAATACCGGTAAATGATTAAACGTTTTTAAAAACTGAATATAATAATACTTATTATATGTATAAATAAATATAAACTGAAGTGTTATGTATTTTTAGGGGATCCTCAGTCTGTTGTATAATTGTTTTTCGGGTCACAGGCTGAAATGATTTGTTAACCCTTGCTCTTGGAGACTGATCTAAAATATAATTCTTTTTGCTGCTGTTGGTCTACAGGAAGTAAATGTACTTGGACTCAAGTTCAGAAACCCTGTTGGGATTGCTGCAGGCTTTGACAAGAACGGCGAGGCTGTTGATGGCTTATTCAAATTGGGTTTTGGTTTTGTTGAAGTTGGTACCATCACTCCGAAACCTCAGGAGGGGAATCCTAAACCGCGTGTGTTTCGTCTCCCTGCAGATCAGGCAATTATCAACAGGTATGTATGAAAAGCACCCATGTAAAACATGTAGCAGCACCCATGTAAAACATGTACAGTGTGATATAGATTTAATACAGATTTCACCTGGGCTTATACATCTCTGCAAAGAGAAAATGCAAAAAACTTAATTTAAACTAAACACACTAAAACAATTAAAGGTATGGAGGATGATCTAAATAAGTGGCCCTCCTAATTGTCAATCATTCTGGTGATGTGTTTACATAATGTCCTATGTGCTTGTCCGCAGTTAGCTATCTTTTTCTGCGCCTGCACGCTTTCAGAAGTCTATGTGGTGAGCTATGGTTTCAGACAATCACTGAAGCTCACCTTTCTCACCACGGTTGTTTTAAAATGGTCAAGGTTTATTAGAGGAAAAAGTGTCTTCAAAGCGTATGAGAAGAGAAGAAAGGCCTCAGAAGAGGCAAATATATCCCAGAAAGCTTTACCTGGAAAACCTCTCGTCGCAATACCTCTCCTCCTATATAGTCCCCGCTCTATATAGTGATTGAGGGTTTTAGGGGTTAGGGCGGACGTTCGGACACAGTGAGCTTGTATGAGCTATGAGAACAGCAACTTATAAACCGAGTGTGCAGGAAGAGAAATTGTCTCAAGCACGTTTTCACACGCGTTTAATACTCATTCCCTCTCAGGAGCGGGTACAGGATTGTGCATGTGCACTTTTTTGTGATTTGTGAAAATCCTCCACAAATACCTTTAAATGTGTTTAGATTGAGTGCTGTCCACTGTGGAACAGTGGACCAGCTCTACACCCTCTGCAGGGTGCTTGAGGGTTCTTGGGAGTTTGCCCAACCAGTCCACATGTGTTTTGTGGACTTGGAGAAGGCATTCGACCGTGTCCCTCGTGCTGCCCTGTGGGGGGTGCTCCAGGAGTATGGAGTCGGGGGCCCTTTATTAGGGGCCATCCGTTCTCTGTACAAGCGGAGCAGGAGTCTGGTTCGCATTGCCGGCATTAAGTCGGACCTGTTCCCGGTGCATGTTGGACTCCGACAGGGCTGCCCTCTGTCACCGGTCCTGTTCATAACTTTTATGGACAGGATTTCTAGGCGCAGCCAAGGACCGGAGGGGGTCTGGTTCGGGGACCAGCGGATCTCGTCCCTGCTTTTTGCGGATGATGTAGTTCTGCTGGCTCCCTCCTGCCAAGACCTACAGCGTGCGCTGGGGCGGTTCGCAGCAGAGTGTGAAGCGGCCGGGATGAGAATCAGCTCCTCCAAGTCCGAGGCCATGGTTCTCGACCGGAAAAAGGTGGCTTGTCCCCTTCAGGTTGGAGGAGAGTCCCTGCCTCAAGTGGAGGAGTTCAAGTATCTTGGGGTCCTGTTCACGAGTGAGGGAAGAATGGAGCGGGAGATCGATAGACGGATCGGTGCGGCTGCTGCAATAATGCGGACGCTGCACCGGTCTGTCGTGGTGAAGAGAGAGCTGAGCGAAAAGGCAAAGCTCTCAATTTACCGTTCGGTCTACGTTCCTACCCTCACCTATGGTCATGAAATTTGGATCATGACCGAAAGAACGAGATCCCGGATACAAGCGGCTGAAATGAGCTTTCTCCGCAGGGTGGCTGGGCTCTCCCTTAGAGATAGGGTGAGGAGCTCGGCCATTCGGGAGGGGCTCAGTGTAGAGCCGGTTCTCCTCCACATCGAGAGGAGTCAGTTGAGGTGGCTCGGACATCTTCTTCGGATGCCCCCTGGACGCCTCCCTCGGGAGGTGTTCCAGGCACGTCCCACTGGGAGGAGGCCCAGGGGACGACCCAGGACACGCTCGAGAGACTACGTCTCTCGGCTGGCCTGGGAGCGCCTAGGGCTTCCCCCAGCAGAGCTGGAGGAGGTGTCTGCGGAGAGGGAAGTCTGGGAGTCTCTGCTTAGTCTGCTGCCCCCGCGACCCGGTTCCGGATAAAGCGGGAGTACGAGTACGAGTACGAGTACGAGATTGAGTGCTATACACAGGTTTATACATCAGATTATTTGGTGCAAAAATATATACCGGTATTGTTATTTTTTACAGGTTACTTTAGAAAATTTCCTTTTGTAGCATAATAACTTGAGGTGCATTTCAATTTTTTTATGTGTATAAATAAGTCGTGTTCAGTTAGAAGTTATTAAAAAAAAATGAACAGGATTATGTCTCATTGCTGTTTAAATATCCAAATGGGTTGGTTTTTAGCAGTAAACTTGCATTAAGTAAGTAATGTTTTATGTGCGTGTATTTTTTTAGGTACGGATTCAACAGCTGTGGTTTGTCTGAAGTCCACACAAGGCTAAAGGCTAGGGGGGAAATGCAGCAGGAGCACAGTAACAGTAAGTAGTTCTCACTGTCTTTAGGTTACTTTAATGTCAATTAAACCTGTATGGAACAAGAATAGAGCATGCAAGGCAGCATTTTAATGCCTCATGATGGTGTGATTGTGATCTTTGAAGAGTGTTGGGGAGGTTTAGCACAGGATTATGGGGTGTCCTTTTCTTTCCTAATGTTTGTTGTGTTCAAATATTCCTGACCTCACCTTATTTTCACATTTTATTGCCTTCATTCTTATTTAGCACATCAGCACTCTCTGGCCCCAGTTGAGTCAGGCGCATGATGATCCAGCTGTTTTGTGTGTTGTGTTTACCCAAACCTGCACACGTTTCTTTTGTTTATAGCCGGCCTGCCCCTTGGCATCAACCTGGGGAAGAACAAGCATTCCCAGGATGCTGCTGCAGATTACTCTGAAGGGGTGAGAGCTCTGGGCCCACTTGCTGACTACCTGGTGGTCAACGTCAGCAGCCCCAATACGCCAGGTCTGCGAGATCTGCAGGGGAAGGCTGAACTTCGCCAGCTTTTACGCACGGTAGGCATCACTGGATATTTAGGAGATTCAAACCTTAATGGCCAGAGTGAAAAAGACTGAAATGAAAGTTAGTTTATAGTAAAGCTGCAAAATTATTGAATCACAGTGGGCATCACAGTATCGTCGTTTTTAAAAGGTTAGTTATGATTAGAGATGCACCAATCCTCTACTTGTATCGGATATTGGAGAAATGCACTGGATTGGATCTCCAATATAAAATCCAGTGCATTTACATGGAACTGTTATTTCTTTCTTTCAGCTGCTTATTTGTTAATAAATATTATAAAGTACATTTATATCTGTTACATTTTTTAACAATGTTTATTTCAAGGCTAAAGCCTTCAATCACATGGCACCATATAATGTTCATTCATTCAACCTTTGTATAAGATCAGTATCAGATATTGCTTCAGCCTAGGTAATGTATTGGATAAAACTGAATTGATGCTTCACTAGTATTAATGCGGTGTTTAAAAGGCAATACTTTCAGACTGAGTCACAAATGAAAGCTTTTCCTCTGCAGAAAGTTACGCAATTTCTTTTTGTAACATTAACACCCCTAAGAAACTTTCATTTATTCATTCTTAATTCTACTTTTACGCATTTTTTTTAGTGTCAGCTGCATGTTTGTCAATGCGAAGCACATTTCTTACTAAAACAAATTCCTTGTACATGTAAAAATCTATTTGGCAATTGAGGTTTTTTCTGATTTTGATTCTGTGCTTGTCAAAAATACGATTATGGTTGCTCAGCAGAACATATCAATAATTATTTATGTTTATGCCTATACCAGATTAAGATTATAGTGAGTGAGATAAATGGATTGATGCAGACATTGTGATGACTTCAAAAAAAACAAGAAAAAAAAACAGAAGAGGGTTTGATCACAATATTATCACAGCATTAAACACTGATGTCATCATTTTATGCTAATATTAAACAGCTCGCCTTAAAACACAAAGGTTTTGAGTTGTTTTGCCTTTTCTTCCTAAACAGCCCTCTGATGTAGTTTATCAAAACTCATAGATTTGCTAAACCACAGTAAGGCTTGATCTCTCTCATATGTGATGGAAAAAAGAGCAACCTCCTTATCTTTCAATGGAGGATTATGTATAAAGGGTTCTGATTTTTTTTTTTTGCTGAGATTAAATGCAAACCGTGGTTTGATTATCCTCACAGAATAACTCAGGAAAAAAAACCTCATGCCGTTGGCTCATCTCATTCACATCTTAAATCAACTAGTGGCTCTGGAAAAACAATTTTGATGTTTGGAAAAACAGGCTGCAGTGATTGGATGTACTTCTGATATTATCAACATTGATCTTTTCCAAACGTGTTGAGTGAAGGACAATTTTAGTAACATCAGAAGTATAGATTTGCAAATGCAGCCGTGCCATCCAGCCTGTTGCAGTGTCAAACAGAATCTTAATTGTGATCTGCATCTGTTTATTTAATGCAAATGTTTGATAAGGGTGCACAACAGATTCAGCAGCATATGTTGATTACGATTACTACATACAGCTGACAGCTAAAGGACTATCAAGGGCAGGGTTAATGAATGCCATTCTCTAGTGTCGGTATGTGTGATAAAAGCCCCTCGGCCTATATTCTCAAGCTTGCTAACTTTTCTATTAATAATGATTGAAAAAATAAATAGTACATTTTTAACCAGATCAGCCATAAGCGCAGTTATTTAACCTGCAATCAGTTTTGAATAAATTCCTTGAAATAATTACTTTATGCTAGTAGTTACTTTGGGCTTTTTTATTATACTTTTTTGTTTTTATTTTTTATATGTGTGTGAACCACTCTGAACCGTGCTTGTTGTTCAGAAACAAGTTAAAGAACTGATCTTTTAATACTTCCAGTTCTCAATATTTTCTGTCTTTCATTGAAGTTATTTAAAATTCCTTCAGCCATTTTACCACATGCTAATGCTCTCTGCTCAGGTGTTGAAAGAGCGTGATGGTCTGCAGGAAGAACGCAAACCTCCAGTCCTGGTTAAGATCGCTCCTGACCTCTCCGCCCAGGACAAGCAGGACATTGCAGATGTTGTTGCTGAGGTTTGTTTTTTTCCCCCTGATATTTAAATCTCCATTAGGATTGTTTTTTTTGTTTTTTTTATTGAATGGAATTGAATTTGGAAAAAATTTTATTGGAAACTCAAATTCTTTCGTAAAAGCATTGGTGGCGGCCTAGTGGTTAGGGCATAGAGCTTGAAAACCTGAGGTTTGAGTTCGAGCCCCACTCCCAAGGACTGCCACTCTGCGTCCCTGAGCAAGACCCTTAACCCCACACTGCTCCCTGGGCGCCGCACAATGGCATCCCACTGCTCCCCAAGGGGATGGGCTAAATGCAGAGTTCATTTCGTTGCTCTGTACTTGTGAAAATTAGGGAAATAATTGGTCTTTGGAGTTTTAATTTAAAAAACAACAACAATCAGTTAAATATTCTTTTCTTTATTATCTTGATTTCTTTGCACCCACCATCTTAGATGTGTCAGTCTTTAAGGTGAAATTTACCCATGCATACTGCACACCCCCTCTAGCTGCAGCCATTTACACTGCTGATAATACAGTTTCCGTTTGTTTTGTGCTCATATATAATAAATTTTTCAGGGTCTTCTCATTAACAAATAAAATAACATGGTCATGATTTTAATTCATTATATTAATGTAAAAACTTTCCTGGTTACACAAGTATTCATTTTGTTTTTGTTTTTTTTTTAACTTCCCATTGCAATTTTTTTTTAAATCATCAATCATACAGTCATAGAAAAAAACTAAGGAGATACTGTTATATAAGAACTACCTTTAGCAGCAATATCTTGAAGTTATTTTCTCTTCAGTTTTATCTTTTATCATCACATAGAGCAATTGCTTCTCTAACTCCGCTACTGATGCTTTTCCTTTTAGACACTGTGAATACACCTGACTGCTTGAGGTCAGCAAAGCTGCTGTTTTTACAGATGTGGTCATACTATGGGGGTTTTAAAATAATAACATGAATTTGTTAAGCACAGACTGACTCTACTTTGTCTCTTTAATCTTACAACAGGAAGGTGTACTTAGCTTTTTCAAATATCTATAATTCTGGCTTATTTGAATCCTAAAACAAAACCAGTGTTAACTATAACTATATATTTTTTTCTAGTAATACTGAAGAATGTTAACAGTAGGACAGCAGTTCATTGACTGGGATGTACATTAAATCAGAGGAAGAGAAACTCCCCTGAAACCAAAAGAAAATCCACTGCTGGCCAGATAAAAAGGCACCTGAATGACTTCCAAAACAGGCAAAGTAAAACTTTAAATAAATATAAAAGTGACATGGAAGTTTTTTCCCAAGAAAACCCAGGATTGAATCCTGTTAATTTTTATTCCAAATTATTTGCCTCTTGAAATGTAATACAATAGTAAAGGCTGACTTTCCCTTTAAATAAAAGGTGATACATTTCTAAGATCTTTAACCTTAAAGCCTCTTATGCAACAGCAACCTATTTAAAAAGCATGCTTGAAAGGCTATAATATTTAAATATTTCACCGCTCAGTCAACACTGAGTAAAAAACTTGATAAAAACACTTAATAAAATAAGTGTAAAGGTATGTGAATCCAAAAAGGATTTAGAGTTAATGCGACTGCTGACATGGATCCAAACTAATTTAGAGCATCTTCTCACTAAATAAAACCCTGTTTCATGGTCATGAAAAAAAACATCTTTGGCATTGAAAAATCTTTCAAACATTTCAAGTAGGTCTACAACTTAAAGCGTCTTTTTGACTTTAAAATTGATTATGATGAATTTTATGGGTAAATATCTCTCTTTTTTTTATACAAGGTCAACTCTTTTTCATTCAGCAGTGCTTCTTTGAAGGCCAGAAATCAGAGCCTTTACTTTTTGTCTTTGTTTCTCCTTTTCTTGTAGTTGGGAGTGGATGGTCTGATGGTGTCTAACACCACTGTGTCCAGACCAGAGGCACTTCAGGACCCACACAAGTCTGAGACTGGTGGGCTAAGTGGCCAGCCCCTTAAAGACCTCTCCACTAGGACTGTCAGCGAAATGTACAACCTAACCAAAGGTTGCTGTCTGCATATTTTTTCCATTGCAATTTCTTTTTAGAATAATCGAGTACATGTGAAGGAAAGTTTGGTTTGGTTTTAGGCAAAGTACCCATCATTGGAATTGGTGGCGTGGCCAGTGGGCAGGATGCAATGGATAAGATTCGTGCCGGTGCTTCTCTGGTGCAACTTTATACTGCTTTGACCTATCAGGGTCCACCTGTAGTGAAGAAGATAAAGCGAGAACTGGAGAAGCTTCTTAAGTAAGTATAAACATTAAAGGGGGCAAAATCCCAAAGGAGAAAACAGTGTTCTACCTGTTTTAATCTAAAGAAAGCAAACATACAAAATGCCATACAGAAAATGTGCATTTATTGACAGTTCACCTGTGTGTGTGTGTGTGTGGGGGGGGGGGTCGAGTATTCAAAGGAACACACTTACATTTAAAAGAACAACAACAGCTACAGCAATTAATATAATGCTAACTTAGATAAATCAAAAGCTGATTGAATCCGCTGCAACTGTTTTAATTCCCCTTTTCTGGTTTTGGATCTGGTTTCTGATTGCACCGTTTTTAATGGCAACTTAAAAGACAAAACCATTTAACAGGGAGAGATGAGCAGAAGTGAAGAATCGAGTTCCCAGACTTGGACCTGGACTCGAGTCATTGATTTTTTTTTTTTTAGTGAATTTGGACTCAAATTAACAAAGAAATGCTCTGAGACTTGTGAATTGACTTGGACTTGTATATCAGTCACTAATGACTTGAATAGGAATTGAACCTGTTCATTTGAAAATATTGTATTTTTACCTAAAATTCAAAGTTTATAAGCAGCTTATTAGCAAATGTTCAGTTTCGCTGGTTTCACTTTGATGTTTAAGAGGAGCTCAGACTGCCATAAAGTAACGTTTTGGGTCACATAACGCATGACTCTGTGTCACAAGACAGCTGTTTGAAATTCTGCATGGAGCATTAATATCCACAAAATGCTGTATATTAAACTTAAAATAATTGAATATAGATTTCAAATGAAGCTAATTTGTGTGCCAACAGTTACGCATTGTTGCTTTTATAGTTGCCTTCTCACTGTTTGTACTGATCGAGAAGAACTGGAGGTTACTTTCTATTACTGATGTGCTAATGATCCATTCCTTTGTGTGTTTGTAGAGATCAAGGTTTCAGCTGTGTATCCGAGGCTGTCGGCGCAGATCACAGGCAAGAAGAAAAAAAATCTTAGCACACACTCCCAAGGCTCTGCAACACGTGTACCTGTCTCCTCCATCGACGCTAAATAATCAGCCTTCTGTCATATACTTGGATTAACTTCTATCGTTTGTTTTTCCATTCTGATTTTCAGGATGGCAAATGAATGATCTGTTTTTGTATTTAGGTTCAAAGTTTGAATAAATTAAATGAACACCTTAACAATACATCTTCAATACTTTACTGTGTTTTTTTGGTTTTGTTTACAGTATTAAAAAGCTGATTTGCACTGCAAAAAAATGAGAAGTCAAATATTCAAATGTGTATTTGCACTTTGTTTTTGCAGGCAAGTAAAATCATCTGCCAGTGGAATAATGTGGCCTCTAAAATCAAATAATATGCTGGAGCTAACATAATATGATGAATTTGTTTTGGGTTTTTTTTTATTTTGAGGTTGGTAATAAATATTCAATTGAAAGATCATTTTACTTGTCTTCTCAAATTAAGTGCTGATAGACTTATTAAAGAACTTTTTACATACTTTTTCCATTTTCTGCAGTGTGCTACCTGATTGTAGCAGGTCATGTTTTGTTACAGTGTAACAGCAGTTAGTGTTTTTAAACTTCATAAAAACACCAAAGTGCTTTAATGTATGTTTTAATGGTACAAATGTGTTTGCCATGTTTGTGTAAAGAACTAAATTGCCATGATTATGTTCTAATAAACAAAACTTGATGGAATTATTAAATATAATTGGAAAACACAAACACAGATTTTCACATGGCTCCTTCTTTTCAAATATCATCAGTTATATCTGGCAAAGTGTGAAAACTGTAATACTGCGGTTAAAACTAAATCCTAACTAACCTCATTCAGGTTGTAACGAACAAGGCGACTCCTGCTTGAGGTTCAGTATTTTAAAGCTGATTTAGTTCCACTATCATGGGATGTTCATTTGTCAAATTGATTTCCAAGATTTCCAGCAATGAATTCTGTTTTTGTATTTGGGTTTTTATTTTTAATAAATCCTGTTTTGCCTACCATATCTAATCTGGATTGAAAAAATTATGTAAAAAAAGTGTATTTGCTCGTAATTTGAGCAGTAAAATGATCTCCCAAAGGGCAGATACTTTTAGTACTTGTCCCCCTAAAATAAGAGACGTTTATCATGCATTTAATGCCCTTAATACAAGATAATGGAGATTTTTTTTTTTTGGCACATATGAAGTAGTGGAGATTAATGCTCAAGTATTAGGTTGCTTTTACTAGAATGACTTATTAGTTGGAGTCAAGAGACCTAAAGCATTCCAAGGTGCAAAGAGCAAAATCCCCCCTAAAATAATTTAAATGAGTATATTGTGCTAAACTTTCTGTTCCATGTACTGCAAAGAAAACAGTTGTAACAGAGAAGAACTTGGTTAAGGGTAAAGGTCATGCAGAAAAACGTTATCGTTGCACGTGTTATGGAACACTTTGCAAGCAAATTTCTGAAGATTGCAATATACTGAATACTGATTGAAGCAGCAGTGAATTTTTTTTAACATTATGATTGGTAGATTGGTAAAGTTCAGTCTTGATGACTTTGATCTATAACTGCAGCAACCGAGGAAGTTAGACATAGTTTTGGGGTGTGATGACCAGACAACAGGATAACAGACAAAAGGCTGCTTTTAGAAATAATATTGGCCTTTCATCACTTATCAACACATTGAAAAGCTCATAAAGTTCCCAGAATAGAATGTATTTATCAGTCCTGTCCTCGTCTGCGAAGCCAGCAGTACTGTGAGGATCAGCTGTGAGCTGCTCCTTCATCTCCTGAGGCCAGGTCCTGACTGTCTCATGCCATATGTGGTGTCAGAAGAAGGGGGGGAACGGCCAGACCAGAAGACTAAACTGATTGCCACATGGATATCTGGGTTCTTTGAAAAACTTCTGTCATTGCTGGGAGGCAGCAGTTGTGATTGCACAGCTTCTCGTCTTGAGGCTAGGTGTGTGTGCATGGGAGGGAGTGTTATTTGATTTTAGACCTTAGAGATTTCAGGAAATGAAAAAGCTCCACTATATACTAGGGTTGTCAAAAGTATAGATACTCAAAAAAGTATCGA